CATTATTCTTCTTAGTTTATTTAACCTTGGAACTTTGTTAATTATATCAACAAATCACTATATGGTGGCGAATGTCATTTCATCGATTCTTCGATCAGTTAGTCAAACCCAACGTGCAACATGGTACATGTTTACATCGATCCAAGTTACCATACGCAATTAGCACAACAAAATGCAATTGTCTAGGTCAATCCCAGATTAGTAGGCATGGTCGCATGATTAATGGTAATAAGAAGGGTTAGGAATCTAAGGTACATTTCTAGAAAATATAAATTAGTGAAAGAAATTTTATAAGGAATCAAAAAGTTCTGAATCTAATGGAAGACAACTCGACAGTCCCACAATATACATGCAATGCTTCAAAGACACCTATGGGCGAATACTAGTAGTCTATGAACATCCTCCATTTTTGAAGGTCACTGTTAAACTTACCTGTTTGTTACTTTAAAAAGCTTCTAGAAGAAAGTCATCGTGAATGTGTGGCCATAGTGTGTGCATATTTGTCATATGAGTCATTCAATAAGTACTTTATTTCTAAAAAAAGTATTATGGTAGGGTCTGTTTCTTTTACTTAAGGGTTTGAGATTTTCACCGTTTTTATAACTATTTCAGTGTGTTTGTGTTATGTATCGAGAATTTTTCCCACGAAACTTTCCTTAAACTAGATAACATTACGTAACAAACTGATTGTTGTGCGAGGTAGGATTCAAATTAACAGCCTTTAAGTAGAATGTCCGGTATTTTAGTGACTGGGACAAGAGATCTAACTATTAAACAGTCTTTAAGTGTTATATTTGACTCTGTGATATGAATAAATCCCAAGGACTTAGTCAAACTTTGCACTAGCTACTCATTCAAATCTTGTATAAATATAAATAAGCGAAGTTAGATAAGGTGAGCGTTTAGTTGATTGAGAAGCAAGGTATTTGAGAGAGGGATAACGTTGTCTAAACTACTAATTTCTGTAAGAATGGACAGCGACTGAACGGTTAGTTGTTCCGTGATTACATGTTTAGTATCTTTGGATTAAATGGTTTCTGAGTAAATTTGTAGTTTTGTTAGCCTTATATCACAGGTCTGGTCATTACATTTACACCAGTCTTAACGACCTCGGGGGTATCAATGCCCCGTACATTTGAAGATGTAATTTGAAGCCGAGTTAACTAATGTGTAGTTGATTAGTAAATCGCAATAACACTGTACAAACATATTGGGCTAAGTTGCTATATTTAACATCCTCACAGAATAGATATTATTGTGATTTTCACTAATGCAATTACTGTATAAGTTAATACTCGTTATCTCCACACAAAACGTACTCGTTCTTTGAAACGACAAATCAAGGCATTCAGATAACCAACTTCATGTAGCTTGTATTGATTGAGCTGTTCACAAATATCTGATCCAAACCTTTGAGGTGGCTAGTTATTTTAACTTTGTAAGAAATCGTGAACGATGATTTCTGTTGAGGATCGTAACCAGATTTGACCTCATATTTAAGGATTGGACTGTTGACTGACTTCTAGCCCTCCTTAGATAATCTTGCAGAATAATGGTTAGAAATGCGTCTAATAGGTGCACATTTTGTACCAGGTACGCGTATATAGCCACCGCCGGGGAAGACCTACTCACTGCCTTCTCGCGGCGGGGCTGTTGTTTACGAAATTGAGAGAACGAAAAGCTAATTTCCAGCGCTTTAACCGGGTTGGTTGACAATGAGAGTTCACTTAGGGGAATTGAAAAACTCTGATTCCAAACCAATGGTGCACATGGGCTCCAGGATCCTGAAGGAACAAGTGGTGTATGAACCCATTGTTGTTCAGTGGCCACTATGGGAATGCATCTCTTGACGTTGCTCCACTGCCTTGTGGATCAGACCTTTAAGTCGAAGGCTCCAGGTGTGGCCCCTTAGGAAGACCACGTGTTTTGGTTTGGGCACCCGAACAGCAACTCAGCCTTCACAAAAATCTAATGATTTATGTGGCGCATATGTATTTCAGTACCCTTTTGTACCAATGTTGATGTGTTTAAATGAATAAATAAACCTCATAGGATCAGATCTTAATAATTTTATTATCAGAGAACGATCAAGAAATCAACTAAAAACAAGAAAATTTAAGTGTAATTAAAATTTTGCAAAATTATTTTTTCAGAATATTTATTTTTCAATTATGTATTCATCAAATAATGATCATAATGTAGGTAAGATTTCAGTGTAATGATTCACTTCGTATCATTTGTTACATAATGAGGTATGGTCTACACTAATTAATCACTGTAATAACCAATATGATGTTTATTTAGTCCTTAGTGTTCATCGAGTTTCATTGATTATGTTACTAGTTGATCACTAGTTTAAGTGAATCGATATTACGTGTCCTGTTTTGACATAAGTTAATTATAAGTACTTGATAGAAAACTCGAAACCTAGTTTATAACCTAGGTTATAACAGGAAGTATAGAATCACTGTTTTGTCAGAATATGAAACTTCCCAGAAGTGGTCATTCACAATCCTATCGGGGATCGAACCCAACACCCTTAGACCTGTTTAAACTATTGAGTTAGCATCTAATAATGTACATGTTTAATTTCAATCAATTCAGAAAGTAGTAAGTAAACTGCTTCTCACATTCGATATGGTTCAATTTTATTAGTTATAGTTTATCGCTAAATTTTTGTGAACTATCTCTCCAACTGACTCGGAATATTTTACACTCGTATTAAAAAGAAACACTTATATGGTGAGTATATGAACTTGTAATTGTTAAGTGTTTAAGTTGTACATGTAATAACGTCTTCTCTTCTGGAGGTGCCTGAAAACGAAATTGTATCAGAGGTGGTCTTAGTGACCTGAGAGCGTGACCGCAGTGCCCAAGGGACAAGTGCTTGAGGTCGGTCACACGCGACCTTTTTATGAGTAATTTTTGTGTTAGCTCCGTACTTGTTGAGACCTTACCGCCAGAGACGGATATCCGTGGGATAAGGCGAAGTGTACATTTTTAGGGTCGTTCTTTTCTAACCCCACCCCTCCTCATGGGAAGGCAGCATTGCTGTCATGCTGGTTGTTTGAAGGAAACACCTTACTACTATCATACCTTTGTACAGTCATCAATACGACTTCGCCTTCGGACCTCGGGTTTGTTGCTTTTAGTGTTACCGCTCTTCAACCGACCTGTCTGACATGGTAGGACCTTGAGGAACGGTTGCTCGAGCCAGTATAGCTCGGTTGCTTCATCGCGATAGGCAAGCCCGACCACCACGTCAAGGTAGCAGCAACGGTCGTAAATTATGACAGTTTGGTTCAATGAACACATTTATTCTGATTAATAAATGCTATTGAATATATCATAAAGTAAGGATCAGCTGTGATAAATAGTCTGGTTCGTTTAGTACAATAATCTCAGCAAATAATTTTAATAATAATAATAATAACAACAAACACCATGGTTTTAAAGTCCTACATATCTAATCATGTATGTGTTTGTTTTTCCGAAGTTTTTCTAAAAAAATTTTTTTTAATATCCATCTGGTTTTTAAGTTTTGTGTGTTTAGTTAAGTTAATGTAAATGAATAAGTTAATGAATTCATGAGTTAATTGAAGTTAGACTATCATAGAAAATCTGGAAACCTTGAATGATCGTTTCATCCTAGTATTTGAATTCCTTCGCAGTGTACATCCACGATCCTACCTTGCAAGATTCGAACCTATGACTTATCAGTGTCGCGTATGAACGCTTCAATGAACTCATGAATTCAATTATTAAAATTACTACAATCTTTACAAAAACCTCTTTCTGATTATTGAGTTTTATATCATATTCGTGGTTAGAATATAGGTGTACCTGTAATCTTGAGGTAACTGGTGCTCCCTGGCAGACTCGATCCCGTGTCACCCAGCTTCACAGTCAGAGACGTTACCACTGAGCTATCTGGGCCGCGACCGACCGATTACAGGTACACCTTGCTGACGAGTGCCAAGTAGCACAAAACCCGGGTCCAGGGTTTCCTGTCGACTATCTCCAACCACCATCTAATCTCAATATATAATGCCCGCGGTTTCGAGTCACCTAGACTGGTGGCCACATTGCAACATGATCGATAGCATTCGATCTGCACTAAATAAGGACTTGACACACATGACATGGACCACACCCAGTGATCAATCAATTTTGGATATAGGTTTTCTCTCTTTGTATAAACTCATCATTTTTTTCTCATAAGGTCAAAACATGATATGGAAATGAATAATAGCTATTTTTCAGTTTGAATAAAGAAAAAGTTGAGTTTTATCCTTAAAAAGTTATGCAAATAATGTGACTAGTAGTGGGTAACAAGATGTAAATTTGTTTCTGTTGATTAAAATCCTTAATTGTTAACACCTTGTTATTATTAGTTCTAACATCACATATCTTATAAGTTTCATTAATTTTACTATATTAGAGAATAATGAAATCAAGAGATAGATTCTATATGAACTCGATTTACCATTCTCGAGTTATGCCTTGTCTATCAATGACTATCTTCCACATTCACAGCTACTTTTGGCTAGATCTTGTACAAATGTATATTTTCTATTTTGTGGTACGATGTGATCTGTTTGGTTTCTATATAAATCCAGTATGCTTGAGATACATGAGGAGAGGATGAGATCGGTGTTCTAGACTTAACGGGTAGGGCTAGACACGAAGCAGGTCCGATAAAGACTCTAGACTGCTCGTACGTCTTTTATGCGTCATTGGTCCGGGCAACAAATCACTGTCTCTAATTGGCGGTATCATTACGTTATACATTGATAAGGGCACAAAACCACAAGTTGTAACAATTGGCGACGGGTCTACAGTGAACTTCATGTTTATCTACAATCAACTGATCTTTGATTTATGTTTGTAACTGTCAAACAGAGGGTTGTGTACTGATGTAAAATACTTCTTAATCTATTTATTGTATTATTTCGTTCACTATCAGCGTAAATTGTGTTTTATTACTACGTTTATTTTAGCATTAAATCAAGCGCTTATTGATTATGCTGAATCATTGAATGATTTTTCAGAGTATGCTCATCAGTCAACTTGTTTATCCCAAACAGAAAACGGTATGGTGTTCATTTTAACCATTTCTAATTTAACTGAAATAGAAGTTTGTGAAACCGATGATGATATTATAATTAAAAATGCCTTGTCAGTTTATGCAACTATAATTACAAATGTTGAAGAGGCTAGGCGTACTATGATTGTAAGTTTTATTATTTGATATTGCATAGTTACATATTACTGTCCAATCATTGGTGAGTAGTAATTTATCACAATATTTTCAAAGGTGTATAATGTAAAATAACAATGAGTTAAGAGGTTGTATTCAATCAGTCATTCTTTCATAATCAATGTATGAATCTATTCAAGTTGTTACATCTTAAATTGTCACATTGAGATAAAATCGGTAAGGTGAATAGCAAAAGAATCAAAATTAGGTAATATCAGTGGTACTAGGAAACGCTAAACATGGAGAATTTGATTCGAAGAGAAGGGAAGAGTTCGTGGAATGAAAGTATGTTGTAATTTATCTTATTACGATCCAGATACTTTTATTGCTTAGCGACTTCTCACTAGAACTCCAGGAGTATCTCCTGAGGAGTCTCATACTAAGACGAAACGGCCGTCCAGTGCTTCCAGGTTTTCCATGGTGGTCTAACTTCAATTGACTCATGATTTCAACTATTGAAATTACTAAAATCTCCACAAAACCCATTCTGACATTGAAATTCGTATTATTTTTTTTTACAGTAAATTACATTGTCAAGGTTAAAATCAATAAATTAAATGTTCTAAATGCACTAATCATCATTGTGCATCATGGTAACTATAGACTAAGCAATTATGACATTTATTCATTTGTACTTGTATTTGTGTTTGTTTGTTTGTGTGTGTGTGTGTGTGTTTGTATACGGATACGTCCAGATTTCTAATGGCATATGAATATTATAATTGAATTCACATATTGATAATTATCAACACAAGATATTAACCATCTGTTATTGATTATGTATCCATCCATATTATGTTTACTGGTTGAAATGAAAAAAACGAAGAAGGTAGAATTATTCGGGTACAAAATTTAGTGTATTTTATATATCAATATCATAAAAGGAAATCAATAAAATAGAATAAAAATAAATGGGAATAATAATAATGATAATAATCATACAGTAACTATATCCTTACAAAAATAATCCCGGTGATAATCATTGAATTTTCTTAATAATACACAGCTACATGACACACTACATCAGGGGTATCATTTCTCCAGTTTCGAAGTTGGCATTGATTATTAAGTTAGTGCTTATAATTGTTTACATTTTCAATTTTAATCAATTTGGCAAGACTATAATTTATAAACGAACTAATTAGATATAAGATAACGAGTCATGTATTTTTTTTTGTGGTGTGAAATTCATTCATACATTTGATTAAATAAAGTTTTGACATTATAACTGATATCAATTCGTGATGGAAACCTTAATTCTAATTCCTAATTCTGACCATCAATTGTAAATCATAATTCTAACTGGTTTATGACACTCATTTAGTCCTAATCAGTAAGTGTCCACTTTCAAGGTCACTTCAGCGTCGTTCAAAAGTCGTCTATAAATGATAATCTCACCACTATAAAGTTTATTATTATTATTATTTTGCTCTTTATAGCAACCCAATAAAGAGCTGGTCTTAACTGAACTATCGGAATTACGTTCTCTATGGTTGGGTGGTCAAAATGTAAGTTTCTAGTTTTCATTATTAAAATAACAAACAATAGATTCACTTGATAATGTTTACTTGAATCTTCTCATTGTTGTTTAGGACTGTAATTGATCAGTCTCTTATTGGTATATGTGCATACTGTGCGTATTACTTCGATACTGCCTTAATTCACAAGCATTCTAAGCAAAGATAAATAGTGGTTAGCAGTAGAATCCAGAACGCGCGTTTCGTTCTATTTGGCTATCAGGACTCAGTAGCTAAGTGGATTACGCGATGGTGTTTCAAGCGAACGGTACTGACTCCGAGCCCCAGAGGGGACATCAACTATGAGATGCAGGTACATCCATCTGACGAGTCCAAAATAAGACGAAACGCGCGTCCTAGATTCCACTGTTAGCCACTATCCATCTTTGCATAGGTTGCTTTATAGTTTACATAATGGATTAATCTTTTTTAAACAGATACTGAAAGAGCTAAAAATATACTGGATAGTTTTTTCTTCCTAGTATGGGACTCTTGCAATAAAATGAGTTAAATAAAGTTGAAAGTATAGACCATTAAATACCGATTCAGTGGTTCAATGGTTACTCGCTCTCCTGAAGACCTTAGGCTGTTGAGTTCAATTTCTGACAGGATTTTAAATGAATACTACTTGTGAGTCTCCACAATCTAACGAAACAGCTATTCAGTGCTTCCTGGTCTTCAATTGTTTTTTTAACTAAAGTTATTTTGTGATGTAAACTGTGCAATTCAACATCTCCATAAATCCTTTACATTAATAAAGGGTTAAATAATCAAATGTTTCCTAATCTTTATTATTTTGTATAATTTAACTTCTTCACAGTTAATTCATAGATTAGATAGGGACAAAGAGAGAATTAGAATAATATCCACAATAAAATTGTTTAGAATTCATATCAACAATTAAGGTTTGTAAATCTTACCGAATAGCTGCTTCGTTCAAGTTTTTCTTCACTTAATTTAGTAATTAGTATATGCATGTTATTGACTAGTGTTACCAAGAGGAATTTCTTTAAATTTTAGCAGTTGGATTTATTCTCTCACTTCCTCTTAATCTTAAGCTAAATCGCATCCCCAACTTCTTTACTCTGATCTCATATTTTTTTAATATTTATTTTAGCGCATAAATATTGGTACAAGAGGGCACCAAATATATATGCGCCACACCATATTTGTGTGTGTGTGGGCTGTGATACTGCCCGGGTGCCCAGACCGAAGCAGGTGGTCTTCTTAGGGGGCCACACCCGAGCCTTTGACCTAAAGGTCTGATCCACAAGGCATTGGAGCATCGTGAGGAGATACAGTCCCATGGTAGCCGGTAACCAACGATTGGTTCATACGCCATTTGTTCATTCAGGATACTGGAGCCCATGTGCACCATTGGTTTGGGATCCGATTAAAGCACCGGACATTCGCTTTTCGTCCTCTCATTTGCGCAAACAACACCCTGTTACGAGAAGGCATTGAATAGGACTTCCTTGGCAGAGGCTGTATACGCATGGCCGTGTGAGAGCGTTTCGAGAGGGAGGGCTGGTCCACCCCACTCTCGTCCATGCCAGGGCATTTGGGGGCTCTGATCTCATATGTTCTATTTAGATTGTATTTCTGATGAGTAGATTATTATCTCAGTTGATATTCGTTTTCTCAGTTTTAACCTTCATCTCTCCCTTCCTGTTATACTTATATGAGGTGTGGTAACTTATACCGATACACATCCTACGTTCACTATGACTAATGGATTGATTCATTATTTCTTATTTTCCAATGATCTGTATTTGTGATGAATCTTGTACTTGTTGAACACTTGATACTGTCTATCTGACCGCTTCATAGTCTTAAAAATCTCATAGAATTGAACCTCGAACAGAAGGTAGATAGTGGGGAGTACAGAAATCAAGGATATTGATTGGTTTGTTTGAAAATATAGTGGCATTAGTAACGAAATTGTTAATTACCCAATCAGGATATGACACATAATCTATCATTTTCTTAGATCTCTGCAAGGTTTCTATTGGACGCTGATTGAATGAAGTATTTTAAACATTTTCACACCTTCCAAAAACTTTTCCAAAGAATTTCCGAAACTCCTAACAAATTGATTTTACTCTTATTAAAGCTGTTAGTCTCTATCTAGTTCCATTGAATATCTAGGTATATATTAATATTCGTTTTAAAGATAGAATCAATTCTCATCGATTGATTTTATTACTACTTCCTCTACCATCGTCACCGTTTCACATGACTTGTATGATCTTATTTCATGTTTGTTTTTGCTTTGACTAGGTGAAACGCTCATATGCACACATGTTTATAGACAGATAGATAGATAGAGACACTAGTAGTCGTTATAAATCTGTTTAATTTGATGATAAGCACACTGAAAGAAAATTGATTCTTCTTTGTTCACATTGGTGCATTCAGTTAATACTTTATCATACTATTCATAATGTAATGTGTCATTAATTTCACCTATTGTTGATATCTCTATCGCCATTGTTTTGTTGTTGTTGTTGAAAGTATTATTTACTTACATGTATGTATGTTTGTTTGTGTGTTTATATTTGTATCAACACAATTACAATAAGGTATTGGGTTCGAGCCTTAGTTTGAAAATCAATACTGAAGTCCAGGTACATCATCTAGCTGGCAAGTCCCAAGTTGGACAAAATGTGCATTTCGAATCTCACTGTTAGCTACTATCCAACCTTATTTCTTTAAAAAAAAATTGTGACTAATTGGCAATTCACTTAAGATGCACATATGTCTATAGCGACTGGTTGGTTGCAGTTCGTAACATCAAAAGTGATCAAATATGTATATAGTATTATAAACACTTAGAATGGAATTTTATGATATTCTTGATGATGTGTTGATGAATGCAAATGAACTGAAATAAGACTATGTGTATACTGCACATTAGTTTGGTTTGTAATACTTTGTGTTTGCGACCTATAAAGGTAGAAGATATGTAAAGGTTGCAAATGTATGATCACGTATATCTCGAATGCATGTGGTACTGAATACTGTAAGGTTAGACGTCAAGTATCCGGTAGAAATGATAATTTGTTTGTTATGGTCATAAATCTTTATCAGTTTATATGTTTGGGACATCGGTTCCATTACTTGGTTACACGCCGAGTTCCATGACATTTTTTTTTATTACAACGAGTGGTTATGGTGTTTTCGCTGAAGAGTTCAATGTAAGAACGAAACAGTCGTTACAATAGTCCTTTAACTGATATCAATGTATTATTGAACCAATGAAACTGTTTATTTTTGGATAGTAATCTCAAATCGGTTATTCAACCTTTTGTAAATTTTCATTTGACACAACACTCGTTTTCTCTGTTGTGCATCATAATGATGATGATAATGAATCATTCCATCGGTTTTGACCTTTTCTTTTCATTGTTAAGCCATCATGTATGATTAGTCTAAGAATTAGTTGTTTATTTACTGTTCGTGCGTATATATAGGCTTGTTTCCTTTTTATTAGTTTGAAAAACAACAAACATTAATCAGTTGTTTGTACTGGTTTTTCGTTTGTCTCTCTCCTTCTTTTTCTTTCCTTTTTTTTCGCAGCTTTTCTTGTATCCATATTAGTATGTACTATGGTTATTAGTGTTTAAATCCCATCCATCTATTTGTCCCTCTCTTTCTCTTTCTCTCTCCTTCCCATTCATCCACTCACTGTGCTTTATTTCAACTTTCAGTTTTGTTCATTGTACGATAAACAGTTTGCATCACTTAGATTGTTTATACACGAATCGGTCATCATCAGCTCGTAACTAATTTACATGGTTGTGTTTATAATATAGTTTGTTTTTACTGTTAATTGTTTTTTTATACAAACAATACAATTATTTCGTACAGAGATAGTGGTTGATCCTTTATTGAATAATGTAGCACATGGTCGTATAAAACCTTTAGGATTAAGCTTTATAGAGTAGTGAGTGGATTGGACCTCATTATATTTCTTGGGCATTTCATGAACTATCAGTGCTGATAACATTTTGTGAAGGATTTGAAGAGCTTGTTCGACTTTCTGTTAATTTGTGTCAGCTGTGTTGTTGTAAATGAGCTCTTCATATACTTAACGTGGAGCTAACATATTATACAACAATTCATTCTGTATTACTCTGACTGTGAAAGTGGAGAACATATTTAGTTTGACAGTACTTGGTCATAGATTTCTTCAAAGTATTGCTCATTGATGTTGAAATAACCAAATAAACAATATTGAGGTTAAACTTAAGGGACTATGTAAATATGGCGGATTGGTTTTTGTAGACCGAAATCGCCAAGACCTGTTAGTACATTGTATAGGAACAGACTGGAAAAAGATTACGGTCTGGCTAAGCAAGATGTGTCGTATCACAGCGTCGAGTTATTGACTGTTTGCCTTGACCTTGGCTACAGACGCTGAATGACATGGCTAGAAATTGGTTTCACTAACTCAGGTATATTCATTGCCCATCTGTCTCCAAATATTGAGTGTTAATATAGTTTCATACATCTTACTCCATTATTATATTACTTTATTCCAACTGTCTTATCGATATTTAGTATTCTACTGCCGTTGACACTACTATTACTACACTATCTTCGCTAGATATCTTGTTAATTTTGTTTAACTGTGCTTGATATGGTGTTTTAACTTGATTCGATGCACACCTATCTGAAGCACTTTGTTGTTATCATTGGTTGAGTACGGGGTTCTTTAGCTACTTATTTTCAAACCAACTACCATTGTTTTCTGAATATTCAACCTTCATCCTATAAAATAATAGTTATCCAAATGAAAATTCAATTTTAAATTAGATACGGAAATGGCTTTTTATAAAGTTACACATAACTGCAATTCTGCAGGGTCACATGTTAACTGAGATGGACTAGTGTAGGCGGTTAGTTGTAAATAATGTCACTATAATATTAGTGTATACTTTTTTTGCCATTGTATCGTTATAAATAACCATTAGTAATGCTAGGCGGATTGGGTGTTCCTGACAGTTAGTACATGTTGCGGGAACCGATGTTCGATGTGGGATTGAAACGTGGATCACCCCACTTCACAATCTGAGATGTTATCGCTAAGTCATTGAGGCAGCCACTGATGTCTCGTTGAACTGAGATATTTACAAAGTATTGGCCATTGAGTAGTGACTAACGTCACTTTTCTCTAATTCTCTTGTTGGTCGAATTCTGTTTATTGAGGACTGCGGGTACACACTCCTGGTTAATCTCAAGTAGAACGAAAAATCTGTCGAGGACTTCATGATGGCTACTTCCAGCCACATTGCAGGTTTATTGATAGGATTTAATCACCACTGAGGATTAGTAAAAATTTACTCTAGTCACCACTCACGATCAATCAACCGTTAGGGTTTGAGATCATTGTTGATCTAATATTTACGATACACTTTGTCACTGACTAATCTTAGATGATAAACTATTAGACACCTGGTATCAATGGGACAGAGATCTCTTTTCTACTATATTGAGGCTCATCAGCCGTGCTAACCTACAATTCACCAGAGATTAAATCCACGTTAAATACTAACTACAAAACCTGGATATTTTGGTTTTAATCTCATCTAAGATCGTTGGTTTACACCACTGACTAGTCGGAAATAGAAATTAAAATTATGCGGATATGAATATCATACTCGATGCACATGTAAGTGGCTATATGGACTCAGGAGTGTAGTGGATAATGCATAGTACCTTTGAAGAGAAAGGCATTAGGTTTATACTCCAATGTAGACATCAACACTGGTATGCAAGTACGTTCAGGTGAAAAGTTTCAAACTGGACAAAATGCTCATTCTGATATCTACCACTAATTACAATCCATCAATTGGCCTGGTGTATTATTTACATGAAATTGATTTTATAATTTACGTTTCTAAATAATGAAGGTTTATTGTTTTGATTTTTGCTCTGTGTTAGACTAATGTAAAAGCATTTCAAAAAGAAACTAAAAACTTTTGTCAATACCTTGAAAAATACGCATCAATTAAATCAAAAGAGTTTACAGAAGATGTAAGTTATTCAATGTTTTATGATGATTAAACAATCTTAATTTTATTATCATGAGGATTTGTGGAGATTGTAGTACTTTAACACTTGAATTTACGAGTCAACCTAAGCTAGATCATCAATGAAAACCTGGAAGCACTGGACCGCCGTTTCGTCCTAGTACGGGACTCAGCAGTGCGCATCCATGATCCCTCATGCAGGCCTCGAGCCTAGGACCTTCGGTTTTGCGCGTGAACGCTTAGCCTCTGGACTACTGAGCCGATATCCAACGGTGTTAATGTCTAACCTCAATCCACCCATGATTTTGTGCAACCCTTCGTACATTGTCTCCGGTGAATAAATGTCTCCACCCGTCATGAGTTTCACATGCGAAACCGAAGGTCCTGGGCTCGAGTTTCTCGTGCGAGATCGTGGATATGCACTGCTGAGGCGTCTCATACTATGGTGAAACGGGAATCCAGTGCTTTCAGGTTTCAAATTGTGGTTTACCTTAGATTGAATCATTAATTCAACTTTTAAAAACTTAATTTTGTTTTCGTTTATTCAGTTCAGAAGTTATTTCTGTAAATTAAATTACATCATTTAAGTATTACTTCATCACTTATCTAATCATCAAAACTGGCCTATTTATATACGTATTATGATCTACTATTTATGATATATGATGTATTCTTATATTTTACTTTCATAACATTCCATCGATTATAGTTCTAAATTGTACTTGTGATCAACTATTTCACCCTCTGTTGTGATTAGAGATCTCTATGGAACCATTTTAAATTCATTCATTGTAACATTCAAATAAAAACCCTTTGGTTAACAACCCTTCTATTCTTAGTGCCTGGTTGTATATCGAGACCACATAGCTTATTCTAGCTTCTGGACAAACCAGTTTATCCATTCTTCTCAAGCTACAGTTTAACCTTGTTAATTATTCACTTATCAACCTTGACTGTTCTTATATGAGCATATCTGTGTGTACATTTTGTCCTACTCATCACATGTCCGTAGCTTATTTTGTGTGACTATAAATATTGATCCCAAACCTCTGCATTACTAGCGTAGTGTTGCCACTAGATGTCCGCAATCCTTCGGAGACAACACAGAGTCGTCTAACATCCTCAACTCGAAGAGGCCAGGTTTCACAAGCATAGAGCAAAACCGCTCTCACCGACGAGTTGTAGATCCGACCTTTTACAGCCAGACTGACATCATGAATGTGCCAAAGATGGCCCAGATTGGCATAAGCCGCTCTGGCTTTCACTATACGTGCATTGATCTCATCACTCACACCCCCACCAGCACTTATGCAGCTACCTAGATACATGAACTTCTCAATGGTGACCTAGTGGCTACCCCATCTAGTTGTCTGTAGTATTCGTTGTCAAATCTGCCCTCTACTGGCGGACATTTTCCTTGCAAAACTGGAAAGTGGACCACTTAAAAGTACAATTAGCCATTCACCAACTAATCATCGCTATATAGACGATACTTTCATAGTATTAGAAAAAGAACATAATAAGGATAATTTACTTAATATATTTAATAACGTCCAATCATCGATTAATTTTACATCAGAAGAAGAACAGAACAATAGCATATCATTTCTAGATGTCTAACTAACTAGACGAGCAGACGGAACTTTAAAAAAAGGGGGTACACAGAAAGCTTGTAACAGGACAATACACTCATTTCTGTAATGCATTTCCAATCAGTTGCAAAAGGAACTTGATAAAGATGTTGACCCATTGAGCCAGAATGATTTGTTCGGATGACACTACTGGAGAGGAATTAACATTCGTAGCTTACTTAGTAAGAATGGGTACCCTATGAAATTCATCGACAAACAACTGAAGGAGATGACAATAAGGACAAAGATACCTACCGTCCCTAAGAAAGTATTGTCAATAAAATTACAATTCGTAAATGACACTACTGAAGACATGGTGACTCAAAGACTAAGAAAAGCGGTACAAAAACACTTAATGCAGCCTGACTAAGTGCTATCTTCTGCAACCACCCTACAATAAGAACTGCCAATAAAGACAGATTGCCTGAATTCGCCAAATCCATGTGTATTAATCGATTCAACTGCTCCTGTACAGCCAGTTATATAGGGCGTACAATTCGGCAAGTTCGTCATCGTATAACAGAGCACCATCAGTCGTGGTTAAGCAAAGGACAGATCATCAAGTTGAACTGAATAAAACTTTTAAGGTTATCTACCATATTACATCAAATTTTCCACATGGTTTATGAGTGAGTCTTTTGCACATTGCTGAAGCCATCGCAATCCATGTTCACAAACCTAACCTTTGCATCCATAAGAAGTTTGTACAACCACTGTCGCTACCTTGGCCATCGGTATAGGGGCGTTTGTAGCAGAACTATTTTCGTACTTCTTCCATTTTTTTGAATTTCGTATTTTTTTTATTTTTTTTCTCAACATTTATCTCTTGATTCTTACATAACTACTATTCTACTGACAATTCATTTAAATACTCAGTTCCTTCTATTTTTCATATATTATGCAACGTAGCAACTGTTTGATTTTCGAATAATTAATCTGATTATTATTAATCCTCTTTCTTCCACTTACTGAATAGTAATTTATAATCGATATTTCATTATGTAATTGTTGCGTAACGTCTACACTCGATGAGTATTATTCCATTATTGTAAATTGTATGTACAGCCATGATGAAAAGCAAATTGATAAGAAATTCCTTCGCTCAATTCATTCCTTCTTTATTTTGTGTGACTATAAATATTGATTAACGCTTGTTTAAATCGAGTTGAATTACGTGCTTTTTCCGCTGCGCTCCATCTTATTTTTTCTCTCTTCGCTTCCTTTGCTACATCTCTCTGATTATCTATTCCAATCTGTGATTGTACAAAATATACGTATTCGAAATCCATTCTCGTATTTGATCTATTTTTAATACCGGTATATTCACTTACGAGTATTCCATGTACCTAAATAAATGGTTGCTCTGTTTGTCAGAAGGGGCATCGACCTCGTGACTTCCGAAGAACTGGCAGTAGCCCCCGGAGGGACTCCAACTGTGGGAAAGAACAAACCAGATTCCAGCGGAGGAAGAAGCATTGGAAGTGGATAGGACCCACATTGTGGAAAGCACCCAATTGCGTCACAAGACAATCTCTCACATAGAATCTTGAAGGCTAAAGGAAAAGAGGAAGACCAAAGAACACATTACGCCGAAAAATGGAGAAAGACATGAGAAAAATGAACAAGAATTGGGTAGAATTAGAAAGGAAGGCCCAGGACAGAGTGGGTTGAAGAATGCTGGTCGGCGGCCTATGCTCCATTAGGAGTAACAGGCCTAAGTAAGTAAGTAATATTCACTTACATGGATTAGGTCGATAATAATGTACGACAATAGTCAGGGTGTATATTTCGACTGCAACCAGTCAATAACAATCGTTCATATAATCTACTTGAAGTCAGATCCTGGATCACTAAATATTCTCTTGTTTCACTTTTCTGTATTCTTTCTGTCTCTGTTTTTTTTTTTCTGTTTGCCCAAGTTTAACCTTCTTTTTATTTGTTTTATTTTACATTATAGAATGATGCCAAAATGCTTCAAGAGCGTAAAAATTATATTGCCAAAGCATTTGAATACATCAGCAATATAAATGAAGCGCATGAATTGAAAAAGTCCAAATTTGTTCAAACAGTAAATTGTTATTCATTAGTAGCATAACTGTTTTATTATTATTATTATTATTATTATTATTATTATTATTATTACACATGTTTAATTATGATAATTAACCATCCGAATTGCACCTATGATGTTAGCAAACAGTTGTATTCAGTAAAAAGAATTTCATCATTATCAGAATGGGTTTTGTGGAGATTTTTAGAAATTCCACTTGTTGAAATCATGAGTCAATTGAAGCTAGACCACCATGGAAAACCTAAAAGCACTGGACGGCCGTTTCGTCCTAGTATGAGACTCCTCAGCACTGCGCATCTACGATCCCGCACCCTGCGAGATTCGAACCCAGGACCTATCAGTCTCGCGCAGGCGCTTAATCAACTAGACCACTGAGCTGGTTGGCATCCAACGGTGTTAATGTTTAATTTCAACTAATCCATGGGATCGAGCCACCGTCCATCATTGTCTTCAGTGAGCTGATATCTCACAACAGACCTGGTTGAACTCCATTGGTAATTTTATCTGTTTAGACGTTCATTTCCGAAGCAGTACAATTAGGTTTATACGAATAAGTCAGTGAGCAAAAGTTCGCCGTCTAAATAAATCATCAATGAAAAAGAACTTATTTTCATAATTAATAAAAGTGAGTATTATACGAGTGAATGAATATATTTAAACCATCATTGGGAATGTACGGAGATGAAATTGGAGAACTACTACAACCACCATCAAGAAAGTACAAGTATTTATAAATCGTTGTCTACGCAAGACACTCAACATCCATTGGCCGGATACCATCAGCAACAGCCTACTGTGAGAGAGAACAAACTAGCTTCTAGTTGAAGAGGAAATTAGAAAAGACAATGGAAATGGATAGGGACATACATTACGGAAATCACCAAACTTGGAATCCTGAAAGGAAAAGGAAATATGGAAGACCAGAGAACACATTAGGTCATGAATTGGAAGCAGATATGAAAAGGATGAATATCAGCTGTGAAAGAGCTGGAAAGGATTGCACAGGATAGGGTTGGATAGAGAGTACTGGTGGGCGGCCTATGATCCTCTACTAGGAGTAACAGGCATAAGTAAGTAGTAAGCATCATTGGGAATCTGAAAGCACTGAACAACTACTTCATTCTAGTATGAAACTTTTGAGTAATGCATATTCACTTCTTTGGAACTAAAAATCAGACTCGAATCCTTTATTTTTTGTTTGAAGTTTAGTCAGTCTACCGTCTGTCCCTTCATATTTATGATCAATTTAAAACATAGTTCATTAAATGTTCAATTCAAAGTTAACTTTTTGAATTTGGTAACAGTTTGTTATTGTTATTACTGTAGTCATGCTATCTCATATATAATCTACATTGAACAATTAAATTGAGTATTATTATTATTATCATTAGCTTTATTCAATATTATATTATTGGTACAATATAGAATTCTCAGCGTAAAGTATTTCAACAAGTTTCCGTTTCTTTCTTCTTGGTCGATCCTGACGATAACATATTGAGTGATCGCCATTTAGATGTTCACAGTTCAGTAAATGAATATCTGAATAATGTACATTCTTTTCGTTGTATATTGCCAGCAACCACATTGTCTCTTATTGAGTTTTTTGTAACTTTGACAACGAAAGGTTGTACACGTTCCAGAAACGCGGCAGAATAGGTTACGCAATTAATAAACATAATGATATATTAAAACAAACAAAAATAGATAACTTGTTGAAATATCTAGATGGCAGGAACAGGTAGCCCATATGCTCAGTTAACCTGCTCATCATGCTTGCCTTTATTAATGTGTAAGTTTTTCAATTACGCCCTTCTAATTGTCAACCTTTTGCTTATAGCCTAATGAACTGATACTATACATATTTATGATCAATAAAAAACAATTCCCATGTTTATGAAAATAATTGACTAGACAGCTTGAATTAAGTATGTATAAGATGAAAGGTTTGTCTGAAAGATATTTTGTGCATCTATCTAGGTTGGATGTTTTTTTTTCTTTGATGAAGTTTTGTTCTCTGAGCTGAATGCTTTAGTTGTGGAGCTTTCATCATTCTTCTGAATGACATCATTGATATGATTCAACTAGAACAATCTACAATAAATGAAAAATCACAATAATTAGGTCTTCTATTGTGCAATATTTAATGAATTGATGACATTTAGATTTTTGTTTTGATGTATATATTTTTTTCAATTTCTTGTCAAATATTCCTCGAAATTTAAGTTGAGATCAATTTTAAACTGATTGGTTACTGAATAGTAACCATTTATATTGACTGAACTCTATCGATTCAGTTGCAGTGTGGTCAGTAACTTAAGTCTGATTAGACATTGAGCATACTATATGTGAATGTTAGTTATTGGACCAAATATACATAAAATACCAAATCTAGGTCATGTGGCAATTGGCATTCATCAACAAGCCTTACCTGAAATCTTAAAGATGCTGATACTTCCTTAAAGTTTCCAAGCCAGTTCACTCAGTTTTAATTTTTGAAACTTTACTGTTTAGCATTTCACTCAGCGACTGTTCTCACATAACACTGAGGTACTTACATTGGTTTATCAATGAGCATTAACTTATATCAAATTTGTCTTGATTGTTGTGTTCATAGGAATATGCATATTAATAGTTTATATTATAAACTCTTCATGATTACAAATTTTAGATTGTTTCTTTCATTTACGTAAATCTATGCAATAAAACCTTTTTATCTACAACTTATCATATTAGTATTCAAATAATCATACAGTTTATTAAATCTTCTGCTAATTTGAAGTTAATCAACATCAAAGACCGTTAGATTCTTGAAGTATTAGTGTAGTGAACGAAGACTTGGTGGATAAAGTCAGTTTATTGGTTTATGCAAAATTACACAATGCCTTTGTAATAAACTATGAAAATCAGATAGTAAATACATCATTTATACATCTTCCTAGAGTTGTCTGTTATGTACTTCACTATTCTTCTAATCCTGTTGTTATTTCAACTGCCTTTATGTTTTCCTTCTTGTTCTCTTCATTCCAACCTCCTGGTGGTAAGCATTCCATTCCTGCTACATACTACTTATGTCTGTCTACATATGTAGTGCCCATCACAATAGTATTCGTAGTAGCAACAGTACTATTAGAAAAGTATTAAAGACTTGATAAAGTAAACAAATCCTTTCAACCTTTGAATTAGGTCAAATTTTGGGTGAGAAGAATACATTAAAAACGAATCAATGAAGGTAATTTCATAAAAAAGGGCGGTAGGTGTGTACATGTTTGCGAATAATTCAAGTTTACTTATCCTAAGGTTTGCAAAATTGATGAAATATATGAAGATTGATAAACATGTTAAGTCTTTGTTGATCAATTCGAGGATGAAGTTAATATCAAATTATGGTTGTTCGTTTAAATCTCCTCATAATCCTAACTCTGTTTCTGAACTACAAAAGGATGTTCAATTACCTATCTTACCATAACAAATGCGTTTGTAAACCTCTATTGAACCAATAGAACTAAATAATTTATAACCAGAGAGGGGTTTTGTAGGTATTATAGTCACTTAATAATTGAATTCATAAGTCATTTGAAGCTAGACCACCGTGGAAAACCTGGAAGCACACGATCTCACCTCACGGGATTCGAACCCAGAACCTATCGGTCTAGCATGCGAAAGCTTAACCTCTAAACTACTGAGCCGTCGTTCAACAGTGTTAATGTCTATTTTCGAATCTCATGACGCGGAGTCGTGGATGCTCACGGCTAAGGAGTCGCATACTAGGAAGAAACGGCTGTCCACTGCTTCCAGGTTTTCACTTTATGCATTAATCCATTATCCACTCAATTTTGCACATAGAATAACAACGTCGAACAGAAATTTAGTCGTAACTTCTTATGCATTCGTTACTATACTACTCTATATATCTAATTCTTGTAAAAGAACATCTACTCCAATTACTTTATATCGATTAACATTTTGTAAATCTTAAACACATACAATAACCCATTCATCTTCATTACTACATTCACTCTCTTTATTGCTATTAATCTCCAATTGATGTTTTTGTTTTCTGTGTAATGTGATTGTCAAGTTCATTGCTTACATCTTTTATGTTTCTTTCTAATTATTTGAAATATACAATAGTTGTTTGTTTTAATTCAATTGTCAATATTGAGTAATTTACATTCATCATCATTCTTATCATTATCATCATTGTTATGTGTACCACTGACATTGATTACATTATAGCTATTATAGTTAGTTTCTATTATGTGTACAGGTTTTTAATCATTAAAGATTGAATGAATTGAAATATACTTTAATTAATTTGTAAGACTACTCTGTATGCTCTGTGTATTTATGCTCTTCATATATTTATATGGTATATGATATAGCTGTTTGTTGTATATATGCATTATTAAGACCTATAAGCAAAGATGGATAGTGACTAGCAGTGGAATCTAGGACGCGCGTTTCGTTCTATTTAAGACTTGTCAGCTGGATATACTTGCATTTTAGAGTTGATATTCACTTCGGCTCTTGAACCCAGTACTTTTTTTTTCAAATGCCATCACGTTATTCACTTAGCTACTGAGTCCTGAGTGTACATCAACTTTCAGATGTATGTAAATCCAGATGACGAATTCCAGATAGGACGAAATTCACGTCCTGGATTACACTGCTAGATATTATCCATCTTTGCTTAGAATGCTTGTGAATTAAGGTTATATCGAAGCAATCCGCACAGTATGCACATATGCCAATAAGAGACTGATGAATCGCAGTCCTAAACAACTATGAGAAGATTCAAGTAAACAATACCAAGTGAATTTCATTATTAAAACCGTTTATTGGATGATGAGTAAATAGTGTTATATAATTGAAAGAGCTCTAACAGTTAAGCTTTACTTACCTGACTTTTACGAACTTTTTTTTTGGAAATTTCCAAGTCGTTCATAAAATCTTATAATGATTCATTTTTTTCCGTTTGAAGTTTGAATTCATATCAT